AAATTGTTAGTTTTTTTTTTCTTTTTAGTGTTTTAACACAGCAGACAACTTTCCCTAAATTAATGCACAAGTGATCTTCAAAAAGTTCTTATTAATTTATTAATATTTTAATATATATTACAAAGAAAGTTGCATGGATTTTGAAATTTTTTGCACCAAAATAAGCATTTTCATTCTATTCCCACAAATTTTTGAAGTGCCTTTGTAATGTTTTAACTTATGTTGCAAGCAATTGAAAAGCTAAGCTATGTGATACCACGATAAAAAAGAAAAAAGTGAAGAAAATGCAATTTGGTACCTGATTAGGAAACTTCTAAGTGGGCTGTCACTTCTGTCTTCTTGGAGTATTTTTCTCCTGCTAACACCTGGAAGATGTAAACAATGCAATAGGAGAAACGCAGCAGAATTTTGTTTCTCTTTCAAAGACAGACTGCTTCAGACTGCCCCACCTGACCACCTCTTCTCTTTACTCCTACCACCCGCCATGTCAGTATGGTGCAGCGTGTTCAAGAGCCCTGCCAAAGAACCGTGTGAGAGGGACCTCAGAAGACACCTAAGTGTAACTTCTACAGGTGGAGAAACCAAGGCCTAGATGCAACGAGATGTATTTTTACTGTAGAATGAAGAAGTATTAGGCCATTCCTAAATAGTGCTAAAGTAAGCCCACAAACTGCTATTTGACCACTTATTAATTCTTTGAACAAACACTGAGTTTCTTTATGTCAGACATTAGTTAAATCTATGAATGCGACATTGAATATGACAGCCCCTGCCTCGAGGGGTTTCCAGTGTGTTTAGAAAATCAGTTAATGCAATACAGAATATTAGTCTTAGACAATAATAGAGTAAGTGCAGTATTGTTGAGACACTTAGAAATATGCTCTGACTCTGGAGAGTGATCAAAGAAAGCGTCTTCACTTGGACTGACTCTGTTCTGAGCTCTGCAGGACAGTTAGCCAGGCAAATAATTGAAGAAGGGCCTGAAAGAGCAGCGTGTGAAAAGGTCCTGAGATAGAAGAGACAGTGACAAAGAAGTCCCCTGCATAGTTTCTTCTGCCTCCGCGATTTTACACCTTTGCCAAGCAACCCAGCTCGTTTTCATTTCATATTCACATGTTTCCTTTGAGGCTTTCATTAGCATGTTTTGCCTTGGTAGTTGTGATTAAATTATCCTTTGCATATGCTCTTGGCTCCCACAGCTGAATCTAAGCCTTCGTTAGGGGAGAGGCTATATCACTGTTCTCCTGTATTATCTACAACCCCAGCAGAGTGCTCAACACACAGGAAATAACCAGTGGATGTTTAACTCTGTATGTCTCCTAACACATCCTTGAGGTTCTCGTCTTCCTGACACTACATCCTATTTTCTTTAGGTCTTTCTAGAATTCCTAAAATATCCATGATCTCTTCATCACTTTTTTTTTTTAAGATGTATTTATTTATTTGAAAGTCAGAGTTACACAGAGGAGAGAGAGAGAGAGAGAGGTCTTCCATCCACTGGTTCACTCCCCAATTGACCACAATGGCCGGAGCTGCACCAATCCAAAGCCAGGAGCCAGGAGGCTCTTTCAGGTCTCCCACATGCATGCAGGGGCCCCAGAACTTGGGCCATCTTCTACTGCTTTCCCAGGCCATAGCAGAGAGCAGGATTGGAAGTGGAGCAGCCAGGTCTCAAACCAGCGCCCATAGGGGATGCTGGCACTGCAAACCAGGGTGTTAACCCACTGCGCCACAGCACCAGCCTGATCTCTTTATCCATTTTACTAGTTTGTGAACTCTCTCTGTGATCCGTTCTATAGCTCCTGATATGGAATTTTCACTAATCTAATTTGTGAGAGTTAATTTCAATAAGGCATATAATAACATGGGTTATAAACAAATTGATTTATCAAAAAACAGCAAATGTTGTCAAACATGTAAGAAAAGATACCCTGATACACTGTTGGTGAGAATGTAGACTAGTAAAACCGTTGTGGAAGACGGACTAGAGATTCCTTAAAAATCTGAAAATTGATGTACCATGTGACTCAGCCATCCCATTCCTAGGAATTTACCCATAGGAAATGAAATCAGTGTATGAAAGAATTATATGTATCTCCATGTTTATAGCAGCTCAAGTCACAATAGCTAAGATATGGAATCAACCCAGAGGTCCATCCACTGATGACTGAATTAAGAAAATATGGTATATATACATGATGGAATACTACTCAGCCATAAAAGAGATAAATCCTGTCTTTCACAACAAAATGGATGCAAATGGAGGACATTATGCTTAGTGAAATAAGCCAGTTCAGTTCAAAAATACAAATATCATATATTTTCTCTGATTTGTGGTAGCTAATCTATAGCATATGAGTGAAAAAAAACATATGAGTGAAATTGGCATCCTGAGATTTGATTATTGTTTATAGCCCTGTCTATACTTCTGAAGAATAGTGGTCTTTCTACTTACTACTTGTTATGTTCTTTATTTAGTGGAGGATTAAACTTGTGATTATAAAGTAAATTCAAAGTATGTAATCAAAAATATTTTAAAAAAATGAATTGCTTCTCAGCCTTTTGGCCAAGATCAAGTGTCAAAAAATGAAGGAGGAGAGAGGGCAGATGGGAGGAAGGGTAGGAAATAATACTATATTCTTAAAACTGTATATATGAAATATGTCCCCTTTATATAAATAAACTTTAAAATGAAAAGAAAAACTTACACATTTAAAAAAATACATTTTGGATTGTAGTGTTTAAATTAACTCACTTGGCTTTTAGCAATACCATCACTTCCCTGCAAAAATAGGAGGGGAGAGAGTACGAAGTATAATGTTTATCTGAGGCCTTCCATCAGTCATTGGTAGTGTCGCCAACATAGAATACTGGCCCAGGCTATAATATCAGTATAAAATGGGCTTTATTTTCCTTCATTCTTTAACAAATACTTAAGAACTCATGACTCTGTCTTTACCTTATAAAACTTTAGTCTCTCATTCCAAGACTGTCTGCTGGGGATAGGGAGATTATAAAAGTGAATATAAGTAATTGAAATTCTACGAAGTAGGAATAAGTGCTGAAAATAAGGTTTATATTTAAGGTTTTAAGAATTTTTTTCATTTTCATTTATCTTTATATACAGAAGATCAATTTAGTATATATTAAGTAAAAATTTCAACAGTTTGCACCCACACAGAAACATAAAGTGTAAAGTACTGTTTGAGTACTAGTTAGAGCATTAATTTACATTGTACAACACATTAAGGACAAAGATCCTACATGAGGAGTAAGTGCACAGTGACTCCTGTTGTTGACTTAACAAATTGACACTCTTGTTTATGGCATCAGTGATCTCCCTAGGCTCTTGTCATGAGTTGCCAAGGCTATGGAAGCTTTTTGAGTTCGCCAACTCCGATCTTATTTCAATGTGGCAGGTACCAATGCCATCTCACTAGTCCAAGTGATCAATTTCAGTTCACAATTAATCATAATGATAGGTCTAAGAGTCAAAGGAATCACATAAATAAGACTAGTGTCTGCTAATACTAACTGATAGAATTAAAAAGGGAGAGAACGATCCAACATGGGAAGCGGGATACACAGCAGACTCATAGAATGGCAGATGTCCTAAATAGCACTCTGGCCTCAGAATCAGCCCTTAAGGCATTCGGATCTGGCTGAAGAGCCCATTAGAGTATTTTAGGCATGGAAAGCCAAGACACTCTGGAAAAAAAAAAAAAAAAAAAAAAACACCCTAAATGAAAGATCTCTGCGAGTGAGATCCCAGTGGAAAGAACAGGCCATCAAAGAAGGAGGTACCTTTCTCTGAAGGGAGGAAAGAACTTCCACTTTGACTATTCCTTGTCTAAATAAGGTTTTAAGAATTTAACAGGAGATAACTTGAGCTGTAAGAGGAAAATAATGGTGAAGATGAAACTTGTACTGAGTCTAGCCATTTGAATAGGATTTTGCAAGAGAGAATTTAGTGTTTTATCTGTTTTTCCATGCTTTTTCTCGTAAGTGATTATGAAGACAAGATGTACTACTAGGGGCCTGGAATATGTGACAGGTTGGAACAACCGCTGAAGAAGGTTGTACAGTGCCAGAGATGTTGAAAGAATGTTGGAATCAGTGGTATACATCTAGTGTGGCATGTATTTATAATGGACCCATTTGGAGTACTGTATGTCAGTGCACTGAGAGCTGTGTGTATGTGACCTCTCTGGGCTAGCAACTGTACATGCCTGCCTCATAGGAACATTATGTAAGCTGTTGGTAAACATGGGCTACTTTATGATTGCCAATTTAGGTAGGTAAACAATAAATTGTAAGTCCTGGCTGCCACCTACTTAATGTCAGCATTGTCTTCTATCAAGAATTTCTCCCTCTCTCTCTCTATCTCTCTCTCTCTTTTTTCCTGAGCCAATAATTGTTGCAGTCTAGCAAAATTGTGTAGAGGGATTGCATGTTATAAAATGAAATAAGCAACCGTGGCTCCATAGCTGTAGGTGATTCACTTTGATTGACTAAGAACTCAGACTGCATGCCGAGTGCCAACTGAAAGTATCTAAGTCTCAAATATTGGCCAAAGTTTTATTTTCCGTCTCATTTGAAAAACTGAAAAGAGTTTGTGATATTTGAAGATATTAGCCATTTTCAGAGTACTATTATTCTACAAAATTATTCAGTGGTTTGGACTATGATGTACAGTGAGAAGCCAGACATATAGGACAATTTACATATAATTGTATAATGGGAACAAAAGCTTCATGAAGCAAAACAACCTGTTAACAGTCCCTAAAACTGCTATTTTAGTTTCTTTTTAAAATTTTGCTCATGATCAACTATACTCGTTGTTGATACTCAGTGATAAACTACAAAACTGTGTTTTGAAAAACTGGTAATAGTGAAATTTCAAGACATGATTTTCATGTGGTGTAAATTTCCAAAATTGTGGTTTTTTTTTTTTAACTATGGCTGCTGGCCTAAATGACCTCTTCTCTTCTGTTAATCAGGTATCCACATGGTTTTTCACCACCTTTGCTGTCTCAGGACTGAAGAACAAAATCCACCACGTGGACAGCCTCCACCAGCTATTTTCTGCCATATCACCAGAGCAGATCGACTTTCCTCCCTTTGTCCTCGAATATGACGCCAGGGTAAGAAGTACCAGGAGTTGTCCCTCGCCTGATGTCGTGTATTAGCTACACTACGGAGTGGTGCTTGTGAGCACATTATCCCGTCATTACAGGATATTATTATTAGTGTTTTAATAAACTTGATAATATTTGACATTCTTTTCTACAGTACCTTTAGTTCAGTATCAAAGGGCTTTTTCTCCAGATAACTGTTTCAAAACGAGATTCTTCTGCTGTGAGTTTGAAGCCAATCCTTGATTATTTTGTTTTCTACCACATTTGAGGCAGATACCTCTTCCTTATTTTCTTAAGACTAGATGGTTTTTCATCTGATAGCGCCAGAAGAATCTATTGGTGTCTCCTTTGAGCATTAATTGTAAATCAGGTAGCCTGTCTTAGAATATTTGCTATCTTGCTAAAAGTTTCATTTTCCTAAAGCTTGTTTCATGTTTCTAAGAGCATCAACTAACAACATTAGTGTTGTGATTACTTACAGATGCATTTATGGATCTGTTAAGCATCAATCAAAGGACAGCTCTTCAATTTCATCACAATTCTGTTCCATTGTGTTTGTTTATAGTATCACCTTCATAGTTTAAAAAGGAAAATTAAAAAATAACATCCTTAGCAAAAAGCTCATCAAGCTCATTGTTTAACTGTTGCTGATTACGTATCTTTATGCATGAACCAAAGAATATATTTGAAAGTTATATTAACTTTGAAATGAATTATTCTTTCCTAATTATTGTGCAACTTGTGTACAAATAAAAGTCCTGCAACACATTTTCTAACATTTCATAACTTCAGCTATGATTTCTGTTCCCCTTATGTGAAAAGCAACGTGCTTAATGTTTTCTAGGGGCCTAATAAAATTTTATGTTTGGCTGTTGCACAGAGAGGATTTGTAATTGGAGCAGCTGGATCATAGATACAAAGATTGTTGAATATATAGGAGAGAAAAAAGGACCATTAGTTTGTATTTACTGCAGATTGCTAGAGTAGAAAATGGCCTATTGTTCCTTTGAACTATACATCATCCCTGTTAATGTTTAAAATATTGGATAGCAGGAAATGTGGAAAACACTAAAAAATTTCATACCAAAAATTTGAAGTGATAATTCAAAGCTAGTGTCTAGATTTATTATTTATTTTCCAGAGTAGAAATATATACAATGAGTGTTTAGTTAGAAAACCTAAAGGATTGTTTAAGCCAAAGCATTTTCTATATACTTAAGGGCCTACAAAACAGATTTTCATTAACTATCAACTCCACACTCACGTTTTTTGTTTCACTTTGTTGGGATGTTTGTTTTAACTCTGTGTTACATTTTTGTATTATCAAGTAAAAGCAAAATTATGTAATTAATAAATATGATATGGAATAACCTATAACCTAACACTTGGTGCGTTGGATCATCTCTCTGTACCTATAGTAGAGCTTTCTAAAATCGAGACATGAGACCATGTGTATCTGAAGGCCAGAGAAGCAGAAAACTGGGGAGGAAACAGGGTATCAGGAGATGCTGTGGAAGGAGTAGGTCGAGGGCGGATGGTCACCAGACACGGGGACTGTATATGCCACTCTGTGGCCAGCAGAGAGCTCTGTAAGGGAGAGCTGCCATCGCCTTCCTGTTTGTGACGGTGCCCCAAGGGGCGCTGAGATGGGGCTCCAAGTAGACAGTAAGGTATAACCTTGTAAGGAACCTTCCCTTTTAAGGAACCACTTTCCTTGCTGGAAACAATTCAGAATATGATTGGAGAAATTAATTGAGTCTAGCGTTGGTTAATTTTGTTACATTTAGTTGTGCATTGCATGTGTGTAGGTTTTAATTTGTTGAAGGGGTGAAGTAATGTTGGTTGGTAGCAAGTTTCAGTAGGCTTCTATTTTCCTGGGACTCACGTGACTTGGAATAGCAACATAAAATTTATAGAATTAAAAGAGATCTTTGAAAGTAATGTTTATCTGTCTAGATAAAAATGATGCTGAGAGGCAGACATTTGGCTTGGCACTTAAGACATGTGTCCCATTCGGAGTGCCTGGGCTGGAGTCCAAACTGCTGTGCTCTGTGTTCTAGCTTCCTCCTGATCCTGTTGCAGGAATTTGGAGAGTGAACCAGTGGATTGGAGATGTCTCTGTGTTCTCTCCCTCTCTCTCTCTCCATCTCGCTCTCTTTTTTCACTCTTTCCCTGCCTTTTAAGTAAAATCATTTTTGTAAAAATGATACTGAGGGGCCGCAGCTGTGGTGCAGCAGGTTAAAGATCCTGCCTGTGGTGCTGGCATCCCATGTGATGCCAGCTCGAGTCCCAGCTGCTCCACTTCCAATCCACCTCCATATTAATGTCATTGGAAAGCACTGGAAGATGGCCCAATTCCTTGGGCCCCTGCACCCAAGTGGGAGACCCAGAGGAAGCTCCTGGCTCCTGGCTTCGGATCGGCTCAGCTCTGGCTGTTGCGGCTGTTTGGGGAGTGAATCAGGAGATGGAAGACCTTTCTCTCTGTACCTACCTCTTTCTTTTTTTTTTTTTTTTTTTTATGTATGTTTGAGTGTATATAGGCAGAGTGGACAGTGAGAGAGAGAGACAGAGAGAGAAAGGTCTTCCTTTTGCCGCTGGTTCACCCTCCAATGGCCGCCGCTGCAGCCGGCGCACCGCGCTGATCCTGGCAGGAGCCAGGATCCAGGTGCTTTTCCTGGTCTCCCATGGGGTGCAGGGCCCAAGCACCTGGGCCATCCTCCACTGCACTCCCTGGCCATAGCAGAGAGCTGGCCTGGAAGAGGAGCAACCGGGACAGAATCCGGCGCCCCGACCGGGACTAGAACCCTGTGTGCCGGCGCCGCAAGGTGGAGGATTAGCCTATTGAGCCACGGCGCCGGCTCATGTACCTACCTCTTTCTGTAACTTGGTCTTTCAAATAAATAAAATCTTTAAAAAAGCTAAATTACCAGATATAAGAAAATATGGATATTTTAAAAAATAAAATAATAAGAAATGATACTGAGACCATTTTTGAAAGGCAGTGAGCCAGCATTGTTATAAATGTAGTCAAAGAAGAACATATACATTTTTATCTGGTAGCAGTTCTTTAAATTTCAGTGATTGTTTCCAGGAAATATTTGATTGTTCGGCAGTCTCTTGCACAATATGAAATTAATATAAGAAGCTCATTTTGTGTCATTAAGTATTAGACTTGTTCTTGGTAGTGTACCATAATGTAATGTAGAACTGAGAAGCAGCGAAGTATGAGAGTAGAATAGAATAGAGAAGCCTCAGAAAGATAATGAACTATTTCTTTTTGGGTGAACTTCATAATAGGTTTATCTCTTAGGTCATGTTTCTCTACACGTAGCCGAACAATCAAATATTTCCTGGAAACAATCATTGAACTTTAAAGAACTGCTACCAGATAAAAATGTGTATGTTCTTCTTTGACTACATTTATAACAATGCTGGCTCACTGCCTTTCAACATGCCATGCATGTTGAAGATGCAGGATTGGTTTGTAAAGCAGATCGTGATGCAGAGTACTAAATTGCAAAAACATAGTGATAATAATTTCTCTGAAGTTTTCAGAAATGTAAGTAAGAAAAGGTGTTGTGATGCCTGGTCAGATTTATCATCAGAAAGTCGATTTCCCGGGATCAGTTCCTTCCCGAGAACATCTGTTCTGAAGAACAGCAGCGCTCTCATTCAGTCTCTCAGATAACATTGAACTGCCCACGGCATGAGAAGTTGGAGAGACAAGTTCTTTGTCAAAGAAATACTTTCCTTAAAATAAAGACCCAACCTTAAGTCTCATAAATCCAATCCAGGATCCTTTTACCATAAAGCTAAGTGTCTTCATTTTGATTAAGACAAAATTAACCAAAGTGAAGGCCAGAAGATCATCTCTCCCACTGATTTCTTGCTTTCCACAGGGCACATTCAAGTTCTGGCATTTAATTCTCCATTTTGGTCTTGAGCTAAATGCCCTGAGAACTGTGATTGCTACAAGACTTGCCACTCAGGCATGTCGTGAAGAAGATTCTTTTCTGCCCAGTTATAAATTCCTTGGTGATAATAGTGTTTTATTTCATAACTGTACTAAGATTTGGCACATGTTAGGACAACACAATCTAAAAAAAAAAGTATCCAAGCTGTAGATGCACATAAAATTGGATTTAAATTCCAGCTGTTGGTTGTAGCTAGGTGACCTTTGGTGAATAACATGTGATCTTCATTTCCGTCTTTTGTAAAATGAGGCTGTTATGCACTTCATGGCATTGAGTGAAGATTTAAAGGGATAATGAACAAAAAAGTGCCTGTACAATGTCCGCCAGGTGGAACATTCAGTAAGTGGTGCTGTCATTGAAAATAGTACCCTCTTCATTGCCACTGCCTGCGTTAAAGTAACTCTGACAGACTCTCGTGACTGAGGGCCTGCTCAGTGCCACACATGTAGCAGCCGTTTCACATCACCTTCTCATTGACTAGGAATCTCTCTCCAGCTCATTCCCGGTTAATTGGGTCTTGATACTTCATGTTCTTTTCTTTTTTTTCTTCTTTCCACAGGAAAACGGGCCTTACTATCCATCTTACCCCCCATCACCGGATTTGTGACCTGCCATCTGTCAGTGCTTCTTGATTCCAAGGATGCCACTTCCGCCACAGATCACTACCTACTGAAGTGATACTCATTTTTCCTGTACAGATCCAGAGAGCCTTTTGTCCCCACCTCTCTGGTATTTTTTTATTGACTGTATATTTTCTGGCACATAAGCAATCTGAAAATGATAGGCCATTCTGAACTGCACACATTTTAAATTTGTATATTTGTATCAAATGGAAATGTTCATTTTTAGAGTGTTGTTAATAGAAACTGGGGAGCAACTTTTGAGTATCTTCAGTTTCCTGAGGGACACTGGATTCTGCATTAGACAAGCCACCAATTTTATTCATGTCATCTCTTTAACATTGCACGCTTCCTTTGTGTACTTAAGTGTTTCTTGAAATATATGGAACCAATGTATGCTGGCCAGATGCATTGTTTGCTTCAGATCCTGGTATCAATGCCATTTATATTTCATACAGGTAATTTGGTTATGACACAAGATAATTATGGAGAACCAAGAATGTGAAAATGTATCTGTTCAAAAACATCAACATCATTAGCAAAATATAGAACTTATAATTTTGCTGCACAAGTTGAGACTGAGGTTTTCATACTAAAGTTCCTGGGATTGTGTAATTTTTTTTTTTTTTTTTTTTTTTTTGGTTCACCACTGTTCAGATCTCAGCCTGGTGGGGCAATGAGAATTGCGTTTTCACCATTTCCCCCACAATCATGGATGAGATCTCATGGATTTTTGCAGAAGGTTTGCACGTGCTAGTACTACATGAAGAGCATCTCCCAAGGCCCCGTTCCTGAGCCTGTGCTATCTTCCCAGACTCATAAATGGTTTTATTTGGCTCTTAGGGCCACTACCTCTAAGGACATTTCATAGCAGTATCTCTTTGTGTGTGTGTGTGTGTGATTTTTTTTTGTTTTGTTTTTTTGTTTTGTTTTGTTTTGTTTTGACAGGCAGAGTGGACAGTGAGAGAGAGACAGAGAGAAAGGTCTTCCTTTGCCATTGGTTCACCTTCCAATGGCCACCGCGGCCAGCGCGCTGCGGCTGGCGCACCGCGCTGATCCGAAGGCAGGAGCCAGGTGCTTCTCCTGGTCTCCCATGGGGTGCAGGGCCCAAGCACTTGGGCATCCTCCACTGCACTCCCTGGCCACAGCAGAGAGCTGGCCTGGAAGAGGGGCAACTGGGACAGAATCCAGCGCCCTGACCGGGACTAGAACCCAGTGTGCCGGCGCTGCAGGCAGAGGATTAGCCTAGTGAGCCGCGGCGCCGGCCAGCAGTATCTCTTGAGTTGCCTGCATCAATATGAAGGAAGCATGTTGCTGTGAGAACAAGTCCAGGGACCTGATAATTGGTTTTTGTCCAAACCAGTTTGCCACCCAGTCTCTATTTGTGCCTTAGGTTGCTTATGAGTGCAATTTAGAATTATGCTACCTACCTCACAGAGGTATCATACAGATAGTGTTTAGAAAGGGCTTTGATGCCTCTTGGGGAAAAATGCTAAGGGAGTTTGTGTGGTGTCTTCAGTTAATTTTTAAATGGGAACCAATATACATGAGTGAGCGCCACAAAACACTGCTCTTGCCCTTTGGCACCTTTTGAGTGGTTTCTTTATTTGTGGGGACAAAGAACTGTTAGTGCAAAATCCCAACCCTGACCACCTCCTTCCTGCTTCATCCAGAATTTCTTCTGGCCCTCTCTCTGCCTGATGCTGCACTTTAACAAGAGGCATCTGTTAGCCATTTCAAACATTTCTTCTTGAATTAAGCTCAAACTATTATCATTTCCATCTGAGTATTCATACTGCTTGTGATTCCTACACCCACCCAGCCGCCCCTTCTCCCTTATCCCATTATGTACAGTTGTAGTTCAGAGGAGACGAAGTGGATCCCTTCTGTTCTGATGCAGTTGGGAGCAACAGTTCCCAAGTTCCCATCCCTCTCTGCCAAAACACTGTTCAATGCACATGAAAACACATTCTTCCCTTCATGTGTAGTAGGGAAATAGCCACTAGTTGTGTTAGCCCTGTCCAGTAGTTACCCTTATAAACAAAAAGGGGCCTCGCATTTCTTAGATAAGCATTCTTATCTTTTGCATGTATTCAACACATTTCTTTGTGTCGTACATCAAAGCCACTTGTTCCTTATGTATGTATACATGTTGAGGTCTTTGTGTTCTACTTCCTAGGTCGTCAGGTGCAGGCTGCCAGTTGAATGTCAGGTGTTAAACTTCCTCTCAAACAGTCCTCCTTTACCCTTGAGCCTTAAAGATCTGAAATATTAACTTCATCTTCTACACTCAATTTTTAGTTCCTCTTTGAAGTATTTTTTTCACTAGGAGCAACTAGAAAATATGTCAGCTTTTCTTTGTAAAAGTGAGACTTGGCCTCCTAAAATTGGCATCTGGCCTAAAGCATTTCCACCAAAAATTATTAATAAAGACTGCAAGCTACTTTGCCATTTGAAAGGAAGCAAAATTTATGTTTGTAATTTCTGAGATGCAGTAATTTTGAAAGGCTATTCCTTTGCTGTATTCATACCAACATATTAATGTTTAATAATGTAAGAATAATTCTACATATCCTGGAATTCTAGTTCAGTTAATATCATAGAGTATAAAGGTGATATGGGACTATAGGTACACATCAACCTATTTCATAATCTAATGGTTGACTAAAGGAAGATAAGGGCCACCCATCTCAGTGAAACTAAATTTAATATGGGACCAAGATCATACTTTTATCATTCCCTAAAGTGTTTGTTACATAATGCAGTGGTTTCAGTGTAGTAAGTCCTAGAGGGTCAACATAGTGACCTTGATATGGAAATGATTAACATTCAACATGTAAGTGTCTTTGTTGAACAGTTGGATAGACTGGATGATACTTGCCATTTTCAAGGACATATTAGAGGATAAAGGGCTGACTGGCTAGAGATGAGTACTAGCATCTGATGTTAATGCAAAGTACTACCGAGTTCTCAACTTAATTAAACTTTGGTCATGCCAAATGTGAGTTGAGTTGCTGAAGACACGACTTAACTTAAAAATATTAACTGATTAATTAATTCAGGCAAGGAGTAATGTGTTTTTTAAAACAAGTACACTTCTTTCAGCACATATTTGGATTCTTCTTAATTCATCAGTATCCAAGTTCAGATTGCTTAATACATGGACAGAAATTGTTAGAATTTGAAGTATTGGATAGAGAAGAATTGTATGGTTCTGGGGACTGTGAATTGATTGTATTAAAGGCTAAAAAGACTGCAAGACAACCTCTGAACACCTAAAGCTGAAGTTAGGTAAGTTGGCTATTGTAGTTCTGTTAAGTTACTGTCCTTGTAATCTGCAGGCCCTGGAATGCTTTAGCCATAATGGCACTAATTCAGCCTCATGGCACATGCTTGACTTCTTTGTTTGCTGTTACCTGAGACCATGCAAGATAAAGGAGGGTTCTGTTTTTGCTGTGGTCATTTTGGGTAAAAATCACAAACTTGGTGGCTTAAACAGCTAATATTATTTGGAACAGGTTTGGAGTCTGGAAAGACCCTAGAGCAAGGTGCCAGCCTGTTTGCTTCCTGGTAAGGGCCCCTTTCCTGGTTTGCAGATGGCCTCATTTTTTGCATATCCTGGTAGGAGAGTTCTAAAGAGATCATCACTCCCTCCTGTCTCTTCTTACCAGAGCACTAATCCCATTCTCCAGGACTCTGTCCTCATGACCTAATTAATTACCTCCCAAAGGCCCCACTGCAAAATATCACAATGGGGATGGGGGCTTTAGCGTATGAATTAGAGTGGGAGGGGTACACAAACATTCAGCCTGTAGCATACCTTTGACCTGTTTATATCACAGACCCAAAGATGATGAGAATTTTCTAGTAGGCCTAACCATATATACAAATGCATGCACATACATACATACATACATACATAATCTGCATTGGTTTACGTTGTCTGAATGTGATTTCTATGAACATAGAACAATAAGGAATAGTTCAAGCTTTGACCAAACTAGCCCTTCAACATATGGTATCAAGATCATTTTAGCTATTAATGACTCTCTTGAATATTAACTTGATTGTTTTGTTTTTTAAGTAAAGCATGCCCTCAATGGATAAGGCCACTGGGATCAAGAAGAAAAGCATAGATATTCTGTAGGTGAATTACACCAACAAAATTGTAACTGCTGAATATGACCTGATCTTTTTTTGAACAGTAAAACTAAAACATTTTGTATGCACTATCACACTTTTTTTTATAATGTGCTGTTTTGTCAGTGTAAGTACACAGTCATCATAAATTAAGCAGGACTTTGTTGGATCAGCTCTTATGAGCTAAAGTATTTAAAAGCTTAACATATGCCAATGATTTGAATTGCTGTTGGACAACAGAGACCTAAAAATGTTTTGACAAGATCTTAAAATTTGTTTATTCAAAATTCAGCAAGCTTTTATGAATGCTTTTCATTTCAAAACATTTTTTGGTCTTTTTTTGTTCCAGCTATTGCATTTTATCTTTTAATTTTTTTATTAACATAAAGGAACAGATTTCATGTATTTAATAGATGTAATTCTAATTCTGTATTAGAAGTTAAGCCCCTTTTAAAGAAGCTCCCATTGTATGCAAACATAACTCATGAAGAGCCGGTGGTAAATAGTAATATTTATATTGAACCCCAGGGTGGAACATTGTATTTTGTCCATTTGTGCCCAGCCTTTCTGTAATCTCTAAAGTTAGCCTAAAGACTGTTACAGAGTGCAGTCCTAGACTAGTGCTACTCAAACTCTAATATGCATCTGTTAAATCAGCCAAGGGTATTATTAAAATGCAGATTCTCATTCAGTATGTCTGGAGTGGCACCTGGGATTCTCAATTTCTAACTACCTCTTGGGTGATATCAATACTCCTAGTCCCCAGACCACACTTAGAATAAAAGAGCTTAGACTATATTGAACTTTCATATTTTGCCTGGGTCAGAAAAAGGAGACTGAACAACCATTTCAATAACTTCTATGGGCCAGACATTCTCACTTTCATTATTTCTTTTAATCATTCCAGAAGTCACATGAGGTTGGTGGTGACCTGCAGAAGACCTCAGTCCCCGGCAGTACAGTGTAGAGTGGAGTTTTTCAAACCTGCAACATGCACATCCCCTTTTAATAAGAAAGAAAAAAAAATAGCCCCTTAGCTCAGTTTTTACTTGTCATATTTATTATGTTGCCTATCTCAACATAAAACCAGGTATAAACTCTTTATGCTTACACCTTTTACACAAGTATAAAATGAAATCAAGTTTACAGATTAGTCACAAGCAAAACTATAAAACTAATAAAATTTAACAGTAAATATGGGTGGTGATGTTTTTGGCAGAATAGAGCTGTCGCCTATGATGTGGTTATGATGCTTCGTGCTGA